TTTTTTTTTTTTTTCAAAGATTGATCTTAGTATAGAAGTTGTGTTTATTGTTGTTTAATAGATTTTTTGCAACAGATGAAGCATCGAGTTGAGTGCCAACTTCAGAAGGACATGGAGACGATGAAACGTTATGTAGAATATCGTAAGGAACACCACGAAAAGTTGGCAGCAGAATCAATTCAAATTCAAATAAATGGCGACGACGGATTGCATTGTGGTTTGCGTAAAGCAGTCAATGACAATGACCGCAAACTAAGCTCACGTTTGTCTAATAGCAGCTTTAATTCCCCTTATTATATACCGCTGCGATAACTGTCATGCTGCCTTCTTGGTCAAAAATGACTGCTGTTCCTCTAGAACACTCATACGGATATTTTGGTAGTGATTAGCATCAACTTTTTGGCAATTGATGAAGAATTTTTCCTAAGCTATAGTCATGCACAATCTTAAATAAGCAATGTATTTTGAAACTTTGAAGCATTTTTTTGATTCGGATGACGTTAATAGCTGACAGATTACGTGAAATAGTCAGATTATGTTAACCAAAAAAAAAAAAAAAAGCTTCTTTCTAGGATTTGTGATTAATGAACTAAAGTTTGGATGAGTTTTTGAAGGTAAAGTGCAACTTTTTTGTTTCATTTTATGCTTAAGTTATTTTGTCTGTGTTTACGCTCTTTTACTTCAAAATTTATCAGTTTTTTGCTGTAGATTTGATTTGTTTTCTTTATTGAGTGTTTGCAGAAAAATGCTGTTCTGTACAATAAAAAGGGTACGTGTTAGTCGTTGATATTAAGTATTACACAGATGAACAAATATGATAACTTATTTTGCAAGATTAAATCTCAATAAAGCTTCATAATTGGTTTTGAACAAGTGTGCAAATTAAAGGCAAACAGCATTTTAAAATAGATCTTTAAAGATATATCAAACAAATATTTTGCTGACAACTGATCATTTTCGATGCCTGGCACTGTTAAAAGACAAAAATATTTAGTTAGAGAAAAAAAAAGAGGTTTAAGTACCACAACTTTTCAGAGTTCTTGACAATCGCTTACCAGTATTTGGTCTTGAGGAGCCCTGTGACAACGAACTTTGGCAAATAAGCCGCAAAAGATAACATTTTAGAACAGAATCGTTGTTAACAACCATCTGCTGTTGCAATGCTTTCCGCTACATTAGGTTGGACGGAAAAATAAATGCTTTAATTTTTCATATATAATTGAACGAGGAACAAAATGGGGTGTAATTAAGTATGACAACTCAATAATAAGTAAATAAATTAGATTCTTTATTGCCGTAAAAGGTAAATAAAAGATTGTTGGTGGAATAGTGAAAGTATAAAAGTTGTCCACGGTTGCATGAGGTATATTCAAAGGCCAAATTTTGAAGAGAAAACGAAAGTGCCAAGCAAAAACCAAAAGACATTTCAATTGGTCTACAAGGTATGCTTTCTTTTGCCAAAAAAAAGAAAAGAAGATACATTTTTTGCCAAAAAGATTACGAACGAAAACTAATAAACGATTGCACAAACAGAAGAAGGTTAATGTAGGACGACGATGAGGACAGGAAGTATTTGTTTGAAATAATTTGTAGAAATAAAACATTGGTATAGATTTTCTTAATGCTCGACTGCAGCAACAACAACAACAGCAGCAGCAGCAGCACCAGCAGCAGCAGCAGCGGGTGGAACATGTGTTAACGTTGAAGACTTTTGACAACATTAGTTTATCGGTCGATATATTTGTTGTTTTTGCTTCAACTCAACCAGCCAACTCTCACACTCTGAACTGCTTAAGTGATGTGTTGGCAATTCTCAATGCACCTTTGCTGCTGTTGTCATGTATGATTCTCAAGAGTCAGCAACTACTCAGTGCCTCTCAATTATTCCTTTCTAGCTGTAGCTGTCTTGGTAAATTTCAGCACTTTGGGGTGTTATTTTCTTGTCAAAAGTTAAGTTTTTTTGTGAAGTAAATTTGATTTGTTTATCGTTTAAATGCTTTAGATTGCTACTGCATTATCGCGCTATTTAGAGTATCAATGCTATGTACTAATATCTGCATGCTATTATGAAAAGTTTGTAAAGTTATCTCACGGTAATCTCATGGTATCTTAAAGCATTACCGTTCTAAGTGACTGTTAACAGCTTTATGTTTCGCTTTGATTTATAAATCATGCCTTCTAAAACTTATGCTTGAATTCTTGTAAGCTGTGATTGTTTTTTGCCTTTCAGTGCTGATCTGGAAAATTTAGGTTATCATATTTATCAACGATAAAAAACTCGTTTTTATCGCTTTTAAAATGAACATTTTGAACCAAGGTTTCGTACAGTTTTACTACTGCATTAAGCAGCTGCTACCCGACCAATACAAACTCTAAGTCTTCTTAGACTGTTTGAACTGGCTTACATGAAATGTTGCACTTTGTCAGGTTATTGTCACTTTGTTTTTTTTCTTCTTTTTTTTTTCCACATCAACTTCTATAGCATTGAAAATGTTTTCTGTAGTTTAAAAATACTTACCATTTGTAATATTTGAAATATGTAGATGAAAAAAGAAAAAGTCATTGAAGTGTATAAAAAAATTTGTGGAACTAGAGTAACTATATGAAAATGAGTTGTTGAGTGATCGTTTACCAGCCCAGCTTTCAACAATCTTATAAAATAAGTTTATAGAACAATGGTCAAGAAATTTCAAAAACTGTCTCAGACAACTGTTCAGTTAAGATGACGGTTAGTTTCCAAAGTTGTTTAGGTCAACCAATTCTCACCTTCAAAACCACTAGTCACGTACAGTGAAAAAAACATCAAAAATCTAACGAAATAATTATTTTTCTTACATTTTCATATTTCTAAAAAAATTGAATTTATTGCTCTTCAGGCTTAATAAAACCTGGCTCTTGTTCTTGTTTTTAGAGCAGAAGCTACTTGAAAATGTCTTTCTTTATGTTTTTTGCTGTTGCTGTAATAGATCTTCGCTGCTTATTTACTTTGAATTTCGGCTTATTGTCCAGCTGATCTAACTGAAAAATTTTTTTCCAAAATGTGTTAACGAGCTTTTATCACATTTCAGCTATAAAACTATTACTGTTTTTATGTACCAGGTATTTTTTCTGCCATCGTGTTTTAAGCAGTTGTTATTTTGCTAGCAAAACACTGTTAGCGGTATCGGCAAATTTCAACAAATTTTGTTCTTTAACTACACCTGCTTATTAGTAGACTGAAGTAAAAAGAGGAATGAAATTAAGTCCTTGGTCAAAAGCTGCATACTTTTCTTAGTCCATTCTTGTGGAGTATTGAAGCCGTTACGCATAGTCTACATGTGAAATTTATAGCAATTGTTTTTGCCAGTTTTCTAGAAGGTTTCAAATAGCAATCAGGCGATAATTAAAAAGTACTTCAAGACATTAATCTAATTCAAGTAAGTTTTAGATTTACTTCAAGCTAGCAAACTTTTTAAAGCTTATACCTGCGATTAGCGTTTTTTTTTTTTTTGATAAAACAGATAATGGTGAGATTTTAACAAGGGAAATTTATGGTGAATTTTAATATATGACTAAAAGAAGTGTACCATAAAAGTTTTATTTAACTCTTTTGTTGCATTGGTGCAACAACTTTTGTTGTGAAAAAAAGACGTAGGAGGCTTTATTTGACAGTCAGAAGTGGCTAAAAGTGAAAAAGTCGAGCCATGCAGATTAGGTTGCTGATCATTAAACTTTTTTGGTAAGTGAGGGCCAAACTTGTCAGTTTATAAACACGCAAAGTCTCATGAAACAGCTTATCTGCTTAAAAAATTGCAAAACGTGTTGCTTGGTCTTTTTTCGGTTGAATTAATCTCGTGTAGGCTAGTTGTCTGTCTACAGTCGATTAATTGTCACTGTATATATCCAGTGATTTGTAGTAAAAGTTTAACTTGCGTTATCAACTTTGGTCAAGTTTATTATTTGATCTGTGCTATCCCTCCATTACTCGTATACCAGCGACATGAGTGTAAATCAGCTCTTGGTTCATCGCCTGGTTTATTGATGCACTAGTTTTAGCTCTTTCTATTTCCTTTCCCTTTGAATTTTTTTTTGTCTTATGTCTTGTTTTAATTGGAGTGTTTACTTGCTACTGCTTCCTTATTTTGGTGCATTTTTTACTCTATTGTTGCACTGTCCTTTTCTAGTTGAATAACTGTTCTTAAATTGAAACTGGGTAGCTGGCGAATATCTCGCAGTGTATATTAAAGATTGCAATAAGTCGACCCGTAGCAGTAGCTCTATTGGAGACATAAGCACCAGAGTTTTGGCTAGAAGCAGATTTTTGGTTGCAACATCACAGAAAAACTATTGATCGAAGCAGAGTGATGTAGCAAAAATAATGATAAAAGTAATAATAATAACGGCACTAAAATAGTATTAATGATTATTGGACCTACCGCTGAAAGAATATTTATTGCCATGAGAACTTAGAGATAAAATTCTGTTATATATTTTTCAGGTACTTCCAGTAATTTTGGTTGTCTTCTTGTAGAAAGCACAAAAATCTTCAGAAACCAATAGATTAAATTGAATTCCACTTCAAAATTTACTCTTTATATAGAAATCTGAAATGCTTTTGGAAAGTTGGCAGACATTTGGAGAAAAGAGAGTTTCATTTTGAATAAAACTTAATAGAAAGAAAAGTGTCCTTACAAGTTTAAACCAAAAAGAAGAGAAGAACACACTTCGATTTAAGTATGGAAATTTAACAGCTGAATCTGAGAAGATCTCTGGTAATAAACAATGGCTCGTAAATTTCTTAGCTGTTCCCAGTATTTTAAACTATTAGCGTCGCAAACTCAGACCTGTAATGTGATCCCAGTAATCCAAAATATTTTGTTTTCTCGAAAGTCGAAACACTTCACAGCATCAAGTTCAAAGTTAATTTTCTACATTTTAAAATAAATAACAGGTAATTTACTTTGCTATTTTTGTTAACTAAGTTTTCATTTTTACCTGTCTAAGAAATATTTATTTTTTAAGAAAAGATATTTTTGTAAACGATCTCTAAGGTTTGCTTTTCAAGAAGACACATTTCACAAAAAACTGAGCGCTGTGATGACTTGGACGAACAACAGCTTTTATGTATAAGGGTTTCTTCACCATAACTCAGAAATTTTTCATTTTTCTGCTCAACACACGTAGCCAGATGTTATCAGGTGGCGTCACTAATCTATTCTGTGCCACGTCGATACTAAGTTACTCATACATTGGGACTGTTGATCTGTTCCGCTGCAGTCAGGCGCTATGCGCAGCTGGTCTAGAAACTGTTACACTTTCAACAATAATAATCCCG